GTATTATTAACAACGTTAGTTTTAGATGATATATACACGTTCAACCCAAAGACTGTGTTCAGTGAATAAACACGTAGTAATTTATTGCATTTCGCATTCGTTAGAGTCATTAACTAACTCGTGTTCAGCAAATATATATGAAAAAAACACATTCAAAGAGCCAAACAATATTCTAAATGCAATTAAAATTTTAGATCCGCGGAAATCGATTGGTCATGATAAATAATTGAATATACTAGTAGCATATTCATTCCATTTTATCACATTATCCCGATTCACAACTACTAACAGGCCAATTTTAATTCTGCTGATTTTTTTCAGTGGCATTATGTGTTATTTTTACGCAAACATCTGTCCAGGACAACTGGAAATATATTAACACAAATATAGTACACCTGAGACCCATAGTGAGCAGGTCTCGTTGTGACGACTACGGCGCTTCATTCCATTCCACTGTTCAAAATAGCAATGTCTAAATAATCTTCTCAATTTACGTTACTGTAACGCATAATCCAATATTGTCTCATATTACGAGGATACCGAAAAGTATGCACGAAGACAGTACAGCGGGAGGTTTTAACCGACGCGCAGCAGTGGCCGATGCGACGGCGTACTGCTGCGCATAACAGCCAAATAATAAACATTTCGTGAATTAGATAAACCAACTTGTTAGAGTTGATTGCTAAATAATACGATCTATCTCATCTGTTATATATAGGTTATTCTCCGAAATATTTTCGCTCTGACAGGATGAGACATTTCTGTCTTCATAGAAAGAAAACTAAATATGCAGCACTATGATGACCTATTGAAATACCACTTGGGTGAGTTTGGTGCATTTCAGAAACGCACGTTTTTCTTACTCAGTCTGACTGTCGTTCCAATTGGCATGAAGGTAGCTTCGTTTGTTTTTATATTGGCGGAAACTGACCATTGGTGCAGAATTCCTGAATACGATGATCTTATCGAGCAATGTGAATACATTAATGCTACAACAGATTGTGACTTGTTTGTGAAAACAATTACAATTCCAAAAGAGCCTGTTAGCGATGTCTGTGACACCACATGGAGATTCAGCAGTTGTCTTAGATATGATATCAACACGAGTGACGTCGTTGATTTGATTGATGTCTATGATAACCAAACGCTAGAGACACGGACATGTGACAGCGGAATGGAATTTGATACAACCCAGTATTCATCCACGGTGATACAAGAGGTAAGAATCTATTTTCTTCTATTTAAGGCCAGACTTTTATTATCTTTTGATTCGCGAACCCGCCAAATGAACAGGAGCCGAAAATAAAATAAAAATAAAATTTTATTTCAGCGTAATTTCTCGCGCCCGCCGACTTGTAAGTGCAAAAAATTGTTAAAAAATACTAATTTTTATCTTAATTTTTTTCCGCCCGCCGCATAACAAACCTAAGTTGCATTTTCGTGGGAGTAACATGATCAAAGTAACAAAGTTTCGCACAGATGAGAAACAAGGTTATACATGGAATAATATTTTATTTCATTTCTTCTCTCCGATCAATGATCTCACTTACAATTTTTCGAGAATCACACAAATCTAATGGAAAAAAGAATTATTTTATTTTGTTCCCGCACTCCTCAAAAAAAATTGCCTTATAAAAACTCGAGAAACAAGGAATAACAAAAAGTCTGGCCTAATAATGTGCGCAGTGCAATTTTGTGTGAATTGTTTCTATATTGTATATTCCTTCTCTGTGATTTTGTTGAAACCAAAATTTCTTTAAAACATTTGAAGGTCGGATCATCCATAAAAACCATACAGTACAATGACGTGCTTTATTGGAGTACGCTGATAGTTTAGGTTCATTAATATCAAATACTTGCAATATTATATGCATGTATGTGACTTCTATGTGCAGAATTGACAGATCACTTGACGAATATGATGACTGATTGACATATAATAGAAATCCTCGTTTCCC